AACTTTATGACATCTGAGCAGCGTTTGAACTCAAAGATAGGTCTGTGCTCTAAAATTGTTTCGCGAAGAGTGAATTACCCGATTAGCAAGCTTTTATTCCCAAAAAGCCCTAGTAGCACGTATCAGAGCCATACATAGCCGTTTCATTTCCTCTTGTGTCGTTTCCAGTGGAGGGGGATTGACAAAGGTGTTCAATGTCCCCTTTCTTTTAACGTTTTCCTGAGATGCTGAAGAGTGGAATAAATTTCCTTTCAGGAAAAATGTTCGGTAAGCTAGATTGTTTGGTGCAGATGCGTGAGGAAACGAAAATGTATCGAACCAGTTTGCGATTTAAAACAATTCAGTATCCTCTGTGATTTGCCACTTCAGAGTGCAAAATGCTTTTCCAAGACTGACAATAACCTGTTTGCTCAGTCACCATCACTAGCGATCAGTCGGATGTAATCGGCTGCTTTGCTCAACTCGGAAGTAATCTAAGACCTGGCTATTAAACTGAAGACGAGATTATATACTCCCCAGAAAAAGCCCTGCTTGTACCCGCCAAACGTAGATAGCTGTGGAACATTTATGACGACTGTTCTCTTTGAATGCATGGCTTCACAGTTTGCCGCGCCTGGTTTTACGGTTGTGAGACCCGGTCTCTAAGCATACGGGACGCACGATGATATTCATTATTCTGTCATTGCTGTCCCTGAGACATTGCCCGAATCTGGTGATAGCATCTTGTGAACAACATTCAGATCCGACGAGTGTATTGGGTGCGGGCAGATGATGTCTTCTAATCGAGGGGAATACATGCCACTCACTCCAATGGCTTGTACACATACCACTGCCTTCTGTACTTATCGCTGTTGCCAGCTTCTGTGGATGAACGTAAGAAGCTTCGTGACAGTCACATGACGCATGATCATGACGAACGATTAATTTTTTCTTGTTTTTTACTTCCTTTTATTGAATATACAAAGAAAACATTTTCAGGAAGGGGGAAGCTGCCAAATAAAAGGCTGCCATTAAAAACACAATGGGGAAAGTCGGGCGGTGGTGGTTGGAATCGAATACACATCCCCAGAATGATAATTTGGTGACGTTACCACCGGGCCACCACCCCCCGAGTAAATTAACTGTAGTACTGGTCTCATTCGACCCCTTTGGACATACTGTATAGAATTAATAGAATTATTGAGGCCTTTGGTGGGAAACTTCGCTATCAAAAAGTAAAAAATACACCCAATCCGAGAGATCCACAGTTCTCTACACCATTCACCAATCCGATAAGGAAACGGTTCATTGCAAACACTGGCTCATTTACTGCGTTGGGAATTTCAACTCGATTTGTGAAGAAATGCTTGAAATTCAATTGTAAAAATCGGAAGGTCCTTGATTACCACAATAGGAATTTGATTTTCATTGACTCAGAAACGAGTATCCGAAGTTATGGCAAATTGGTCAGAGTGAATTTCAGACGCTAAAGCTGTTTTCAAGTCCTTTTAGTTAAAATTACTTTGTATAACCGTTAACCAGTTTTGACTGCCATCGTATGGCAAGTCGTCCAGCGAATAAAATAATAAGATGGTAAGAGCATAGTAAAGACTAATAAAGAGAGCATTATTTAGACAATGGAATGGAATTCAAGAAAACTAGATGTACATGAAAAGTACTCATCGCGGAGGTCAAACACTTGGGTTTATCCAAGGCTACATATCACTCATTATTCTTGCTTAAACCACCAGTTTGTTTCTGCCATTTAAGTTCGACATTTGCGCCATTTTGCTTAGACAGCGACTTTCAAACAGTATGTTAGTTATGTCTATATACCATAAGATACCATACTAATGAATTCGGCAGAAACATCAAAGATGTTTTAAGTTGACTTACTCAAAAAGAGCTTTCAAAGAATTTGGTGACATTTATTTTGGGATTCTTCTTTCAAGACAGATGCCGATAGTCAAAGGGGAAAGATTTCCATACCTGCCGTGCATGATCAAGTGAAACTAACTCCCAATAGACAACTGACAGAAGTGTCAAACCACAAGGTGTGTAAGCATGTGTATACATGTTTCCTTCATTCTTTTCTGCTATTGAATTCCCCAATGTTTCGGACGGTTAGCAAATTTTCGGGCATACATTTTACACAACAAAAAGCTATTCAGAGTCATGTGATTTACAGTTAGGCTAATGATAAATAATTGATTAATTGTATCGGTTTTGAATCATAAGAACTGAAAGCAGTTGGAGGAAAACAACTTCCGAGACTGAATACATCGCTGGATCATCATCATCAGCAACAGCAGTATCAGCGTACTTTAGAATGAGAGTAGATGACCTCACTGAAAATGATATCACCAGTATTCGCAAGTGCTTCACATTTTTTGATAGAAAAAATCACGGTTATATTGAAACGGAGCAGTTGGGAAATGCCTTGCGTTGGCTGAAACTTATCCCGTCGGAAGCTGAGATTTCTGTTCTGCAGGAGTTCCTTGATCCTCAGAAAACCGGAACTCTTTCATGGGAACGGTTTCTGGTAGCCGCAGCCCATGTGTGGTTTGCTTCACCTCAACAATTACAAACGCACTTATGGCACGCATTTATTGTCTTTGATCCAGAGTTAAAAGGTGTTATTCCCGCGGAAACCATGAAAGAAATCCTGGTTACGCACGGTATGGAACCAATACCGGAGAAGGAAGCAGACAAATTAATCAAACGATTTAAAAATCCTCACAATCAGGTTGAATATAGCTTCATGATAAACGAATTTATGCGATAAATTCCGGGCGAATGCTGCAGTCAAACACAACTTCTCGTGAACTTGTACAAAGTCCAGTGAAACTGCGATATTTCGAAACAACTCAAAAAACCTGTCCGTTTTGCAAGAACTGAACATATCCCGGAACTAGGCGTTCAGCATTTTCATCCACATTGTACAATCCCCCTGTACGTAAGAAAGAGCTGTACAGAAAATATAAATGCGAAATTCTGAAGATGAACAAAAACAAAATACACGGAATAGTGAAAAAATATCTTTGTATTCGAGAGTATCAAGTGGTTTTATCGGTTTGCATATGTAACACTAGAGTCAACTCCAGTGGCTGTGAGCGGTATTGCAAAAATTAGTTAGGACGCTGTGCGCTCGAAAACCTTCGACGAGTTTCAGGTGCTGAAAACAAACACCTTTAGAGGTGGATGCTACTTTACGGCCTGTGGAGGCGATTTGGTCTCTAATATCCCGTAATTCTCGATAACCCGGCAGATATCAGACCATTTGGTCAAGAGAAAATATATTAATCCCTTCAAAACACCGGACGTTTAGCCTGACTACCCTCGAGAGTATCCGAAAGTGAAAGGCTTAGTAAGCTAAAGTGTAGCACTGAGCTCACGTATCGTTCAAAATGAAGAAACTGTAATAGTTGTAGTTCGCACTGATCACGAAATACGAATCGCTAAATATGAATCAAGTATTAGAAATCACACGCCACGTAAGCACTGAATCACACTGGCACTTGTACAACAGTATCCCACGTAACCAAGACGCAAGGAAAAGGCCACAGGAGTAGTAGTTCATTTATTGAAAGAAATCATGAGATTTAAATAACATGTATAAAAGAAGTTCATTGGTTATCCAGGCATCTAACAATTGCGTGCCCCTATTCTTGGCGTCGTACAGCTTCTGTCTGGGTCACACGGCTTCTGGCTGGTCCGCACAATCGGAATATGGTTCGTAGTCCAGAAGCTGTAACGCGTGGGCACTTTACTCTTGTCATCTGTGAAGCTTGACTAATCACAGTTGTCCGAAACTGTAATGTGTCGCTTCGTGGTTTGCGTCATCCCGTAAGCTGGGATCACCAAAGAGGCTACGCGTTGCAGTTTCTGGACAACGAGTCACAGGCTAATCGTGCCGACCAATCAGAAGTCGTGCGGTCCAGACAGAAACTTTATGACGTCAAAAATACAAGCAGACGACTGATGGATTCCTGTATAACCAATAAACTTCTTTTTCACATGTTATTTAATCCCCTTGATTTCTTTCAATAAATGAACTACTATTTCTGTGACCTTTGTCTTGCCTCTAGGTTACGGGGAAACCACCGTGCAAGTGCTAGTGCGATTCAGCGTTGAAGTTGCGTCCATGAATTATGATTTCTGGTTCGTAATTCGTGATCTATTCCTACTTGACCTGTTACAAGTTTACATCATAATTGGACCCCAGGTATCATTCGCTCAGATGTTTTGCGGCGAGTCAATTGTCGGCAATCCGGCAATGGGAGCTTGAGTGCCGGCACAAAGGCAGGTTGTGGTAACTTATAAGAACCGTGTCCTCTGCAGCTAAAATGCAATGCTGCACTTGTATAGACCATTCCGTTTCAACTCTGCTCCGGTCACGCTTACGGTGTGATTATTGTCAACAAGGTACGACATGACCGCATTTGTGATTGAACCAATTACTTCACTTCTCAACCACAAAGAGTGATGGCTGCCTCCGGAGATAGATTTAATCCATCACACGATCAGGTCAATGCTTACATCTGCAATAGATTTGTCTCGTACATTTGGTTGGTGTATGGCAGAACTAGATACTTATGTCTCTAAAATGTATTCAGTGTCTCAATAGAGCCGTGCATATTTTCGTAACTGTAGGAAGAAAAATTATGGGATTGGTATTGTAGGAAGATAACAAAATTATTCACAAGCTATTTGGAATGTGGTTCCAAGGAACACTTTTTTCACTATAACTTCCAGACTCTCCTTGTGAATAGTACACTTATGTGATATCGTGAAAGTGAGGACCAGCGCTTGTTGCTTAGTCGATGGTAAATTAGAAATAACTACATTTGGCTGTGTACTCTTTTAGCCAGCCCTTTGAATGAGGATTCAATAACTGTCGATGGAATATGGTGACACCCTTGATGAGAGACAAATTCACTGAGGACCATGGATGAAAATTAGTCTCACTTTTCCTTAGTGTTGATGGATGAAACACTCAACACGAAAATCCGTTGTTAAAAACGCCATTGAAAACTTTCTCATTGGATACGTTTGTGATCTAAGCGGTCATGGACCAACGACAACATAGCAGTTGTGTTGGAGCCGTGGGCACCCTTTGATGCATTTCACTGTGCTGACAAGAAGCACAAGGATAAAACCATAAATGAAGATCGTGACTGATAGGGCAGCAGACAACTAGAGATAACATCAGCTGTGGCACTGACACTATAACGGGAAATCAAATTAAGGTGGGGTAAAATGGCTCGAAGGAAAGTGGAAGGTACAAGGCACCGGAACTTCACGGTAGATATATCACAAATGATTTGGGGAGAGGAAAATCCAGCAACATGTGAGATAATGAATTTCAGTAGTGCACTAGGTTTTGGTCGTTCTGCCCCTACTTCGAAGGTTTCACTCCAGGTGTAGGACAATGGATTGAGATAGTGCTGATATTGAGAAATATTGACCAGACTGGTAAATCTCTTGATTTACTGGATATCAGTAGCAGAGTGAGAGATGAAGTTGAGTTAACGGATCTCTTCGGGCGCAAAACGGGTGCAACGCCATGCTGTTGTGAAGGTCATGAGCTTTGATCGGTGTAGGTAATGAAATGCCTGTCCTCGGGAATGTGACGAAAATGTTTTATGACCGACTAAATGGTCAACCAAACTCTATGGTTACAGCTTCTGGAAATTTGCGATCAATCAAATCTGAAAGATGATGTCAATGACACGCATACGGCTTCCGTCTACACGCCGTAGGCAGATAGTGCCAGCCAATCCAAGACAGTGCAGACAGAAGCAGAATTATGCAAGCGGTATTGCAATCCGGTTGGTGGAAGCCTAGATAATCAATAATCTTCTTTTGTACATATTATTCAATCACCTTCATTTCTTCCAATAAACTAACGACTTACTACCATTCCTGTGGCCTTTTACTAGCGTCTCGTTCACGTGGGATATTGTGAGCTCGTGCCATCGCGGTTTAGTGCTTCCGTGGTCCAGTCCGCGACAGCTAATTCTTGATTCGTGTCCGGTGATTCCTATTGCGTGGCTTGCATTCCGAATTCCGTGCGTACTACTACCATTACTACAATCACCACAAGTATTCTTACGATTAACCAATAAACAAGCAAGGTATGGAATTACGCAGTTTCTATAAGTGGAAGTGCGCGCAGGAAGGAGTTGATATTTGGAGCTAGTTCGGGATTGTGTGTAGTAGTAGTAGTAGTAGTACGCACTGAACTTGGAATGCGAACCACGCAATACGGATCACGGAATATCAATCAAGGATTAGCAATCACTGACTGGATCATGTAAGCACTGGACCGCACTGGCTTTAGCACGCAATATCTCACATAACTGAGACACGAGGAAAAGGCCAAAGGAGAAAAAGTTCATTTATCGGAAGAAATAAAGTTTATTAAACAATATGTACAAAGTAGACTCATTGATTATCCGGGCTTCTACCAATCACGTTCCAGTATTGCTTGTATCGCTCTGCTTTTGTCTGAGCCACACGGCCTCTGCTTGGCTGTTGCGATCTACCTATGGTATGCAGCCAAAAGGGGTGACACGCACGCGCGTTGTTGACGTCACCCGTGAGGTTTGATTGATCGCAGGTGTCCAAAAACTGTAACGCGTCGCTCTAGAGTACGCGTCATCTCGTAAGCTGGGATCACCACAGTGCGACAGGGCTTTCATGATATCTCGGTGCAGAGAGTGCCCTTGATCACGAGTTAACCTGTCAATAAAGGTATAAAAAGCTTCAGGAC